ATTAAAAACAGAATTTTACTGATAGATTTGTTCTATGAATCTATCAGTAAAATTCTGTTTATAATGGTATTCATCTCTATATTTATTTAGTATATTCATATATGAACATGCGTGTGTTAATGCTATTTACTGCTCACTTTTTGTTGGTGGGATTCAGTGGTGGCTGCTCAACAAGGGGAGGCTGAATGGTGTTAATTAAATCCAAACATCAGATATTGCATTAAGAAATATTAAAACACATAAAACACAAAGTTACAAAGGGTGAAAATAGCTGTTGTGAAGAGCTCTGAAATAATCAACTCCAGTAAACACTAGATGGCTAGATCCCTCTTGACTAATGAGGAAAACCTCCTCGCTGTCTGGCCACTGCCAGTCAAAAATGAATTATGTTTGCCAATCAGCATCGAGCAGACAGCTTCAGGACCAGCCCCTGCTTCAGACCCTCTAAGAGGTTTAGCCTTAGTGGAAGTGATGTATTTTGGCATGTTATTCAATCAGGGCTCTACTTTCTCTCTGCTTACCTAAATAGGCCGAGGCTCTAACCCCAACAGGGATTTATCATAGAGGCTGATAGGCAGGGGGGAGGGGATATCGCATCCAAGAGCAGGAAAAAACAGCTGATTAATGCTCAACATAGTCATAAAATCAGGTACATTTTAGCGCATATATATAATGCAGTTTCATTATAACATTTGTGAAGTTTGACAATGCATATTTTACCATTAATCTTACAAAATTTACAGGTGAGGTTTAGCCTCCCTTGTATTCAATGAGAAATCACCACTGGAGGAATTTTTGGTCTGAAGTGAATTAATTAATAATTTCTAACAGTTTAACTACACTGTAGTAAATGGAAAAGCCTTCATCAGTATCATGGTAATGAAACTTTGGAACAGACATTTTTATTTAGCTATGCTGTGACTCTGGGTGTTTGCTGTGCAAGCACCCAGAGAACTTTTTTTTTTTTTTGGAAGATAAAAAAATCCACACTCATTTTAACTTTTGATTACAAAAAGACTGTAACAGCTAACTATAACCAACTAGACACACAGAAAAATTGAATCACCTTATATGGACTAACAATGCAAATTACAAAGATAAAAAAAAACTGACTAAAGATGTCATGAAAATGTCATCTAAAAAGCAAACTAAAATTTGAAAATAACAAATAATATCTCTGTTGTTTAATTGTGATACAGGACAGCATAATAAACATCTTAAGTTATAGAGTTGGGTCCGTTTTTTTTAAGTGCTTAGTCCTGTTTTTCTGCTGGACATAAATATGGGCTCAACGTTTACTGTGCTTAACTGAAGGCCTTATGTGCTCTCTTTCCTCCTTTTGCCATGAAAACTATCTCAGCTCATCATCTCGACTGCTTTAAGACAGAGCCACCTATGGAGCTAGCTAACTGTTACATTTTCAGACATAGAATATGGATCACTGCTTCTATGTTCCTAATGTGTGTCTGATTCTAGCTCCTTGAAACCCAGTCAACCTTGGCAGATAGCTGCTCACACTGAGCCTGGTTCTGCTGGAGGATTCTTCCTATTAAAAGGGAGCTTTTCCTCTCCACTGTCACTGCATGCATGCTTGGTGTGAGGGATTGCTGCAAAGTCAGCGACATAAGCAAATGTCTACTGTTGCTACATTCTCATCCAAGAGGAGCAAATACTGTCAACGACTAAATGCAGTCTGGGTTTCTTTCGATAGAAAACTTTAGACCTATCTGACCTTGTGATCGAATGAAATTGTGTCTGTATAGCGCCATGAGGTGAACATGCTGTTAATTAAAGCTATATAAATAGAATAACAGAAATAATTGAAAACATCGATCTTCATGAGAATACAAGGAATCATTTACTGTTTGAGAAGATGGAAAAAGAGGAACTATAAGACAGAAATATTTGAAGGGGGTCTGTCAGCTTTTTCATGGATACAACAACAACAAAAAAAATATAGAAATAATGACAAATTTTTGCAGAATTTTTGCAGAATCTCAGGCATCGAAAGAAATAAAATCCTGAAAATCACACAAAAGCATCTTTAACACATCCCTCAGTAGCTAAAAAAGTGAAATACTAGCTAAGATTCACAGTTTTTTATGAATATTTTTTTGTGGTTGACTGAATATTCTTATATTTTTTATTGTTTTATTTGCCTTTATCTTAAACATAACCATGTTGTTTTCTACCACAGTACATGCAATATTTTGATAGTTGGTTGTGAGTGGCTGTTTTTTTATGCTTCAAGCCTAAATTGCATGGACAGGTGATCACACGGCTAAGGTTTATCATGCAATTTAGGTCTACCCTCCCCCACACTGATGTCCTGGGACTGCCACTCCCACAGTTGAAACACACTGATGGTATTATTAGGCTGTGAGGATCATATATTTTTGCAAAGAAATTAGGAAAAACATCAGACAAACAGCAAAGATCCATCCATCCATCTATTTTCTGTCAACCTTATCTCTGCTGGGGTCGTGAGGGGTGTTGGCGCCTATCTCCAGCTGTCAACGGCGAGAGGCGGGGTACACCCTCGACAGGTCACAGCAAAAATCCAAACCTCTACTTGCACTTTAGTGTATTAAACCAAATTTCACTTTAAATATATGTATCAATCTAACTTCTGCAAAACCCCAAGTGTTTTAACATCCCAACAGCACCTCTAAAATAATGTTTCCTTCTTTAAAAAAACCTCTACTGAAAAAAAAACGAAAAAAAAAACAAAAACAAACACACGGTAACATTTTTGTCCTTTTTAAGTTGCTTAGCAGAAATATCACTATTTGCTCTGTTTTCTGTTAATCACTAATTTCCCAACAAAAGCACCACAGGGTGGTTAGAGAACATCCTCGCCCACACACTCTGGAAGCCATAAACTATGAGGCAGTTAACAAAATATACTGTAGCACGAAAGGGGGATGTTTTAAACCACAGCAACGTCATATTGTTAATCATCCTGCAGGCAAGGTTTCCTCAATCAATACTGTTGACCAGGGCTCTTATGGCCCCAGAATAAAGTTTAAAAGAGATATAAGCAATAACATCTTTTTAAAGACATGCATTTAGATACATCTAAAACTTCCTTAAGGAGTGGTCTTATTAATTGATCTTTTGATTTATTTTTGTTGCACCTGCCTGGAACAGTGAACCAATCAGGTATGACCTTTGCTATTCCAATAAGGCCTCACAGACTTAAATCAAATCAGCTGTGCATCCCTGGGTGGTATCTTTGGATTATTGCATCTTGGCCCTGCATCATACAAAATGAGGCAGATTACAAATATATGCTTGTAAAGGTGAGACAGAACTGCCCTGCAGAGGAGTTGACTAAAGCATGAATCTAAAGGTCACACTTGCACGTCTGTTAAGTCACATTCCATAAAAAATTAATCATAAGATTTTAAAGTTTGGTAAAAACCTGTCTGTAATCTTTCAAACAGGTTTAAAGACTTTCATTAAATGCATGGAATACCTATCTCACTTGGCAAACATATTGTACAACCTTTATGGTAAACAGCTCTGCAGAATCTTTTTGTGTATGTGTCCTAACTCCATTTACTGACCTTAGCATTCCAATTTTCATACAGATATGCAGTCCGTTCAATTCAATTCAGTCATAAAAACATGTTCAAAGACAAACAGATATTCAAGTTTAATCCTATTTATAAAGCAATGCAGCAAATTTTATGTTTCTCCAAAAGGAAATCCAACCAACTGCATCAGGAAACAGACGTGCAATATGTGCTCTGTGGATTTTAGCCAACACCTTTTCCTTTCAGAGCAAAAAATTCCTCTTTCAGTTGTACCCCTTTATCCAGCAATATGGACTACAAATAAGAGTATTCAAAGTTTTAATTTGAAGACAAATTTCCATACTGTAATTTTATCAAATATGAAGAAAAAACAAATTTCTATTTCTGCACATTTAATTATATGTCATGGTTTGTGTATGACTGTGAGTTTCCTTTATACGCTTCACCTGACCCATTCCCTTCTACAACCAGTTTATTTTGCTCCCTTGTGTCCTCTCTGCAAACCCTGCTGGGAAGAGGAAAAATAAGGCAAACCCTTCTGGTATAGCTGAACTTAATTTCTTGTTCATTCAATCTATGAAAAATAATGGTGGATGTGTAAAGGACAAAATAATGTTGAAACTGAAATCAAAATGTAGATTGACAAGGTTTAATTGATACCATAAGTTAACTAGATTAAGAAGTTTATACATCAATGAAGTAAGGCAGTTGAAGGTTTTTGATTTCTTACATCTTGTGATTTTTAATCATTTAAAGGTAGGGAAAAGGTTCCCTCTAGGAGTTTATTTTGGTAAAATATTAACTCCCTGTTGAGTTTTTAACTTGTAGCTTCAAACTACAAACCATTAAAAAAAACGTAAAGCATACTCTACTGTAGATCCTGCTCTGTCCATCTTCAGGATTAACAAGCTTCACCAATTCAGAAAATCTTAGAATCTAATTTTACCTTTTCATCTTAAGATATTCATATTTTTATGTCGCCAGATTGTTCACTCATTTTTTAAGGATTCGTATTCAAAAAACCATCATCTGAGCTAATCCTCCTTGCTTGTTTTCTCCTATAATGTGTTTCCCGATCACCTCTTTTCTATGAATATCCTCTAAGTTTAGCCATGAGTGCCCTTCAGGTGCAATTATCTGGCAGATTCATGGTTTGTTGCTTGCTGAGGAAGATTTTGCAAGCTAATGCCGTGCCTCACACCCTGTAATGATCCTGATTGATGAAAGGCTCCACAAAACGCCCACCACAGTTCTGGATCTCCATCCGGCAGACCTTATTGTGCTGTTGGGTCAACCTATGCCCACTAATTTAACATTATCTGCACGTCACTTATTACTTGATGGACTGCTGGGCTGCGTGACAGACATCAGCAGGTTGTTCTTAAAGGGACGAGGGGCTTTAGGGAGTGGGAGGAGGAGAAAAGGAGGAGGTGGGATGCTCGCATACCGTGATCTACTCTCTCTGATCACTCTGACTAACCGACGTTGTGGATTCATCATCCATGACCTCACAAGCTGCCTGGATATATAAGCTGGGGCACACTGCTCTCCAGAAATCAAATTCAGACCTCAAGAAGTTGACCTAAGTTTGTCAGCAAAGATCTTGGTAAGTATTTTTTCTATTATAAACATTTGTAAGAATATACTTATGTTTTGATACTTAAACTCCTTAAAATGGATTTGCTTCGGTTCACATTTTTAACCACGACATTTGCACAATCTTAAAGGGACGATTTCTAACCAACTACAGGTACCTGTCTTCTCTAGTGCCATTAGTTGTGGAGTTGAAATGTAAATAAAATTGCAATTTATAGGACTACTTGTATTCTTTCAGGTTTCTAATTTACATTTACTTAAACAAATCTAGTTTGATGATGGGTAAATTGCAGTGCTTTTTTTTTTGCATGCCCTTAAGTAGAGCCTAAGTAATCAGCAGCCCCCCTTCCATCCTCCTCAGTGCCTTGACCGACTTCCCCAACCCAAGCATGCTGCCCGGGAGAGAAGCTGCTGTCCGGCAGTGCGTGCTGACGATCCGCTGGCTGCCTGCAGCTCTGGTGCTGCTCCTGCTTCTCTCCTCCAGCTTCAGCCGTGCTCACAGCACCACGGTGGAGCACGACTTTCACATCGTTCACAATGTAGATAACAGAAGTAGGAGACATTTTTGCCTTCTTTCAATGCAGTTATGCAGTTACTGTTGGTTTTGTAGATAATTATTTGTGATTTCTATTATTTTTATCTCTCTATCCTTTTTGATTGCCTCACCTGTCAAGATCTTTTATTTTATTTTTTAAGAAATAGAACCTTAATCAAAAAATGAAGCAAGTGGCTTATAGTGTACAACTGGGAGCTATACCTAAACAAATTATGTTTTTTTTGTTTATTTACCTAAGAAAAAATATATAATCAACTCAGCTGATTTTTACAAATTCACATTTATAAGGTTTTAAAATAACCTATCTTGTTTTTTCTAAACTTTGTCTAAAAAAATACTAAAAATTTTATGATATAAGTGTTGCAACATTCTAAAAGTTCTATTTTTATATTTTAACTAACAAAGGGAGTTATTTCTTTTTATGTAAGATGGAGAGTGGTATGAATTGTGAAGCACACAACTATCATGTTTGTTTCCTCCTAGACAGTTAACTAATTGTTTTGTTTCAGTAATAAACCGTAGAAACGACAGAGAATAGAATCAAATAAGAGTAAAAAATTTACAAGTTAAACTAGAAGATGCATCTGAAATGAGGCAGCAGAGTCAGAATATTTCTATTACAATTTTCTTTGCTTTGGCACTTTTATAAAGGAGACATTTAATACTATAGAAATTCATTATACAAAGAAAGCCATTAGGCATTCCATTCTACTTTTATAAAGTTTAAGGGATGTATTTAATGTATTTCTTCTTTGCTTTTGCTTCATATTTTTAATAACATGTTAGATCTGTAAGATTTTGTACAACTGAGATTAGAGTCTATAAATTTCCGAACCTTGTAAAGGTTTAGTCAAAGTGATGCTGATGCAGTAGAATTGACATGCTCCCCTTCATTTGCAGCTGATGCTTGTATCTCTATGCAATGTCTAGGTCCAGAGATAGACCCGTTCTGGTACGTGGGCCGTGGAGTGCGACCCATAGGGCGCTTCGGGAAGAGACACAGCAGCGTGGATGCTCTTGGAAACAGCGGGATGCAGCCTGTCCTCAGGACACTGGAGCTGCTGCTCAACAGCCTAAGAAACAAAGAAAACCTTGGAAAAGTAATCAGTGGAGAGGAAAATGATTGGTTACCATGATGAAAAGTTCTCACCTTCTGTCCACAAACTTTTTTTATTATCTGAAATGAAGTTGTACATTCGTTTTATTTTGATATAAGCTATAAGCTTAGTCACATCTGTGTAACTCATTCTCTCAAGAGTATCTGTACATAAGACAATGCAATGTATATTGATTAATAAATAAGGATGTGTTGTTAGGATATCAGCTGATCTTGTTTTGTTATGTTTGCAAGAACAAAGCAAAAAGTATGCTTGAAACAGAAGTTATTTTTAAGTTTGCAAATTTTATTTCGTAATACATTTCATTTCTGAGAGTATTGTGGCACATAGAGAATCTTTAGTTTTTGCATTTTAATATTTTCCCTATCATGTCGTATGGATTGCAACAGACAGTTACACAGAAAAGGTGAATGGCCCACCTTAGGAGCTGTGCACAGTGAAAACATCTTCTTTGTTGCTCAGGCTGGATTTAAACAGGGTGAAAAGTATTATCTGTTTCTATTTCTCTTTCACTCACTTTCATTATCAGAACCCCGGAGTAGGATTAAGTTACAGTTATTCCACAGCTATAATTTTACTTCCTCTATAAATCCAGCCTCATAAGTTCTAGCTATTTTAAAAATTTTTTTTCAGTCTCTTGCACACAACACTAATAAAAAGTCTGGGCATTAAACAGGTTGTATTATATCATATCCATCTCTTTTTTGACACATATACATATACAACATTTTGATGAGATATTATTTGTTTACATTAGAAAAATACTGGACACCGATGATTGGACCCTTGCAGATGTGCTTTTCATGAAAAACTTTACATCAATCCCATAAAACCAGAAACATGCTTTTATACTACAACACCTTTGGAGAACAAGACTGACAAAAGTACAGGATCAATGTGCGCAAACTGAAAGATGTGAAAGGCTGTGATGAAAAGATCACTAATAGAAGAGGGAAGAGCATTCATACAGAGCATCATCACATCTTTTATGAAGTCCATCAGGACATCCAACCCTGTTTTTATGTCTCGCCTAAGCAAAAAAAACAAGGTGCATGGCTAAATTAGATTCTGACTTATGTAAGTCATCACTAAGTAAAGAAAAGTTTCCCAGAATGAAAGGCAGTCTCTTCAAATCTAGTGTCTAAGGACAGCACAAGTACAGCGTGAATCACACTGGGCACTCAACGCCTTTTGTTGCCACTTATGTTTTTGTAACACTTCTGATAAATGACGGCTTACATTGAAAGCATCACATACCGGTAAGTCTGTTAGAACTAATTAGGGGTCCTTTCAGGATAGAATAAAGCCTTTAATTTGCAATAGTCCTTATTTCAGCAGTATTGCATAAAAATGTTCCGCCAAGTACAAAAATAAACTGTTTGTAACAAAATCATGTTTTCATGACATTTATATTATATAGCCCATTAGATGTTGCTATGTAAAAATCTCATCAAGATTTTTATTATTATAACACAAATGTTCAGCTATGGCCCAATATAGGGAAACAATAAAATCAAACACTTTATCTTAAAAGAAGGCCACAAATTTGAAAAGACAAAACAAGACAGTAAAAGAAACAAGTTTTTTATAAAAAGCAAATTTTCCATCAAATGTAAGACCTTAAAGGTTCTGTGTTCAGCTTGGTTTTAGACCATATAGTTTGTTTTATACTTTTGGAGTCACTTGAAACCATCAGTGCACTTTCATATCTACAAGTGTATAGTTGTTGCCAATTTACAAAGCAGAAACCAAAGGTTAATGATGGCTTAACTTTTCTAAAGGCTAACTGGGGTCAAAAGCCCAGTCACTTTTTCAATTATATGTCATCCAACAAGAATTTAGAATATTACATTTATTTATTTGAAACAGATTTCTTTTTAGCTGCTACTTCCTAATCAGCAGATTTCCATACATTTAAAGCATTTCATGAAGAGGGAAAGCCTTGCTGAAGCTGGGCATACACTGGACGATTTGTTGCCCTTTTCGGGCTGATTCTCTAGTCGTGCAAGAATTTTGGGATCAGGCCGACTTTCAGCCTGATAGTGCGTAGTGTAGTGTACAGGGGCGAAGCCAGAAAATTTTTATAAGGGTGGCCAGGCAATAACCAATGTACACTGAGGGGTGGCCAAAAGCGGATCGGCACCAGAACCTCTGGGTCAATCTACACTGTACCAACAGGTAAATAAATGAGCACAACATCCATATTTTCTAAATAAAAATCTCCTTTAGAAAATATCCTTTCTTACAGCCTTTGCTAAAAAAATGGACACATATATTTAAACATCTTCCTAGCTAAATGGTATACTTTATGCAATTTATTCAGGTTTGAGATCTGGGACGAACATCTTTTCCTGTGTCATTAGTTTCCTTTTATCAATAATCATTCTGCAAAAAAGTTATAGTTAGTGCCAATATCTACATAAATTGATTATTTAATACGTTTTTATTAAAATAGTTATTTATCTATGATTTCACTGAATACTCCTATATGACTTGCAGAGACAAATCCTTTTCTCTTTACCCCATATAACACAAAATCTAGTTCTGAAAAGAGCATGAATTCTGTGCTTATCATCTTTAATGTTAGTATATTGATGTGTATAATTAACCAAAATGTTTTTGTTGTCAAGTAAATGTTAATACCGTATTTTCGCAACTATAAGGCGCACTTAAACGTCTTTTTTTTCCCTCAAAATGTGCGGTGCGCCCTTTGGTGCGGTGCGCCCTATGTGTGTTGTAACTGCGACTTTTGAGACCACCTCATTGAGGAGATGATGAAAGAGTGGCTGAATGTAAGGAGACCAGGTGTTTTTTTTTCCACTCATCACCATCGCTGTTAATATGTAACTCCATGCGTGCCCATCTCACAGCTGATGTGAAAAACATGAGGAAACAAATTAACGCTGTGCTCGCTGTTCAACCGCTCGACATCGATGTGAACCGGACCCAGCAGATGCAGCAGAAGCAGCATGTTTACATGCAAAGTCAATGGTTGACGCGCGTATAGGTGCAGCAAAAGGTCCTGCAGCGCGTTTTGAGCAGCAGCCGCAGCGCCTCGGGAGCGTTTAAGTATCTGACGCACCGCCAACGCGCTGCTGCTGCTCGAGATGGAAAAATTGAAGTTTTGCTGCTGGACGCGCCGCATCAACCAATCAGAGAAGCTGATCTGGGAGCTGACAGCGAGACAGACACATCGCTCTGATGACATTAACGCAAATGAAAAAGGCTGGAGATGATGAAAGGCAGGTGTATGTAAGGAGACCAGGTGGTTTTTTCCACGCATCACCATCGCTGCGTGCCCATCTCACAGCCGATGTGAAAAAAAAAGATGAATCAAATGAACGCTGTGCTCGCCGTTATCCCGGGGGTCTGACAAAGGAACTTCAACCGCTCGACATCGGTGTGAAAGCGGCCGTTCAAAGTAAGGCTGTGAGCGGCATGGGAGCGATGGATGACAGACGGAGAGCACAGTTTCAGGATAAGTGGAAGGCAGCGCCGGGCAAGTTACGCCACCGTTTGCGGATGGATTGTTGATGCTTGGACTAATGTGTCTGCTGGCTCTGTTGTTCAAGCTTTTGCAAAAGCCGGCATTATTTCTGAGGAGCTGCGCTGCACGGAAAGTGACTGACAGCGAAGAAGGGGAAATGGGCATGTCTGATTTAGCGCAGCTGTTTAATTCAGAAACAGAGGAGGATGACTTTGATGGGTTTGATTAATACTTTGTAATAAATACATGAATAAAGCACAAACATACTCAGTTTTGCTCCCGCTCTATTTTTCTACCTGAAAACTTAATTCAACAGCAGCCTCTGGGCGGGTCTCCTCCTCTTCACCGCGGTGGCTGGCAGGTGTTTTTTCATCTAAATAATCTAAATCTTGCAGCTATATTTGCTGTGATCAGTGGGAATAAAGTAGTTTTAATATGTTTTTAAGTGAGAAAGGCCACCTGAAAACTTAATTGCAGTCAGTTCATCCAGATTATCTATTTCTGTCGGAGGCGCTCAGACTCCCACATACCAGCGGTGCACCGACAGTAAATCCCTTCAACAGCAGCCTCACCGCGGTGGCTGGCAGGTGTTTTTCATCTAAATAATTTAAACTGCAGGCACCAGGATACCGGCAATAAAAGCGAACATATTCCGTCGGCAGGTTTCAGGATTTTAAGTTAATTTAGGAGTGACCACAGCGCTGTGTCATCTGCGATGTGTCTGTCTCACGGCCAGCTCGCAGGTTTGATTAATACTTTGTAATAAATACATGAATAAAGCACAGTCATACTCAGTTTTGGGCCCGCTGTATTTTTAAAATACGCAGTAGAGGTATTTAAAGGTAGTAGAGGACATGTACCTGTATATAAAAAATGCGCCCTATAGTACGGTGCGCCTTATGTGTGTGTTAAATACAGAAATGGGACACATAACTGAGACTGCGCCTTTTAGTACGGTGCGCCTTATGGTCGTGAAAATACGGTATATGAAAAAATAAAATGTTTTGATATTTCACTTGAGAGTATTACTGTTGCCACCATCCTTATTAGAGTTGAAAAAAAATTGTAGGGGTGGCCAATGATTGGCTAAGAGTGGCCATGGCCACCCCTGGCTCCCCATCTAGCTCCGCCCCTGGTAGTGTACAGGGGGTAACAAGGGGCGATCAGCCTCACATGACCACCCACCCGATCAGGAATCGTGAGGGCGGAATCAAACATGTTTGAAATTAAATCGGTCATCGTAAGGTCGCATCAGAGCGTCGGGTCGCACAGTGTAAGAACATGCATCGTGAGCTGTGAACTTTTATACAGGATAACCTGCGGTTTCGTCATACACTTTGAACTGTAGCTGAGTGCAACAATTGAATATCACACAGTGTATGCCCAGCTAAGCTAAACTCACTTGAGGTTTTCCCGCTGCATTAGCAGTTGCTCCCTACTTATGTGATACTGTATTTATAACTTGTGATATTTTAACCCAGAAGTTTAATCTAGATATACTAGGATTCAATTGTGGTAGAATTAACCTTTTATATAATCTGCACTGTAAAAAAATCTAGGCCTATTTCCTGCTACTTCAAAGTGAGACATACTGGATTCCAGTTTTGGTTGATTTTATCTACTTATACAGATTTAGAATAGCTTTACATTCCTTTCCGTATGCATAGCTCAGCTAGATGGAAGTCAGAGCCTCCATGGCTTTGTCTGCTGCAGGTAGGCCATGTTCTTCTCTAAGTTTGCCATTTACATTGAACTTAACTTAAAGAGAGACATACTGGATTTTAGCCATGTCAGAATAATTCATTGCAGCTACATCCTCAGTATATCTAAACTTCCTGGATGCCATTTTAGTTAATTAGAATCAGTGAAAAACAAAGAAAATGAAATAAATCTTCAAGCTTAAAAACATTCTAAACTGTCATAAACTATGGTAGAATAAGCTTTTCATCTCATCTACTTTAACATTCAGTTGTTTTCTCCTTATTATACAGTTAATGCTGTGTTTCATTTGGACTAAATAGGATTTTTAATTCAACGTGCAGCTTGAAAAACACCAAGAAATAACAATGTGGAAATTTGGAGATTTCCTAACTATATTTAATAATTGAATATGTATAATGTGACTGCCAGGCCTATATAATACAGTAAAATGTGTGGGTATGGTCTATTTATTAACTGTTTCTTGTTATACCCGTGAAACACATGGCACCCTACAACCTCTTATTTGCAACACATTTATTGAGTGTTGCTAACACATAAAAATTGAGATTAATCAGCATACAAGTGATTTAATTCCTAGGTCAGAAATGAAATGTAGATAATAAAGATAATTTAATTTCTCATATAATTTTCACACTGGCATCTAAAATATATCCCAACTTTTAGTTTAAATTTGCACCAACAGCTCACTGATTAATATTACAAGTGTGCTTTGTAATAATTGGAGCGAAAGCACATTTTAGCAGGAGGAAAAGGAAAATAATTTTTGGCCCTGATACTTTGCATATTTTTACAGGTATTGTGAGTGCAAGTTTTTTTAATAGTTAAAATACTCATCATTTTATAATAATCCCAACGTGGGAATAACTTATCTAGCCAGTCAGACTGATTTACAACATGCATCAGTCAGGAAAGGAGCAGGTAGAAACCGATTTCGAGAGCCAAACCAGGGCACTCCTAACAGAACCAGGGGAAACAGGTAAAAACCAATCAGATAACTACAGATATTATGCAAAAATCGTG